GCATAAAAATTGAGATGCTGAAGCCTGTAATCCCAGCACTTTGGGAGGCCGAGGCGGGTGGATCACGAGGTCAAGAGATCAAGACCATCCTGGTCAACATGGTGAAACCCCGTCTCTGCTAAAAATACAAAAAATTAGCTGGGCATGGTGGCACGTGCCTGTAATCCCAGCTACTCAAGAGGCTGAGGCCGGAGAACTGCCTGAACCCAGGAGGCAGAGGTTGCGGTGAGCCGAGATGGCGCCATTGCACTCCAGCCTGGGTAACAAGAGCAAAACTCCGTGTCACCAAGAAAAAAAAAAAAAAAAAAATTAAGATGCTGTTATGGGCTGAATTGTTGCCTCAAAATTCTTATGTTAAAGTCCTAATCCCAATACTCACAATGTGACTATATTTGAAAATATGGCCATTAAAGAAGTGACTAAGTTAAAATAAGGCCATTGGGGTGGGCCCTAATCCAATCTGACTGGTGTTCTCAAAAGAGGAGGAAATTAGAGACTCAGGGGCATATGTGCACACGGGATGACTATGTGAAGAGGCAGCAGCAGGATGGCAAACTGCAGGTTAAGAAGAGGGGCCTCAGGAGAAGTTAAAACTCTGAGAAAATAAATATCTGTTGTTTAAGCCACTCAGTCTGTGGTATTTTATTATGGCAGCCCTGGCAAACTGATACAGATGCTGAAATGATGAATAAGTCTACCATTTCATTAATCTTGAAAAACACCTGGGAATATAGAAGTGGATATACTGTTAATCATGGAGCAATAATTCCCAACTCATAAAATGGAGAAAATCAAACCTCCTGGTGGGAAGGTGGGTCATATAAAATTTGAAAAGGGCCCCAAAGTGATTATAAATTTCCTTCTCTTCTCACTTAGAAACACTATCTTAGACCTAACAATATGCAAAAGAGCACACAAATGAGGGCAAGGTTAGGTCACTGTCTCTTTTAGTCAGTCAACTGGTTCTATTCATACATTTGTAGAGAGGTCATATACAGACAGTTTCTCCAACTAGAATATAAAAATATTATTACTAGTGATCTGAGTTACGTACAACATTGGAACAGATACTACTCATTTCCTTCCACTGACCTCCAAAACTCTAAGCCAATTTACCATTAACTTTTTCTTCTCACTTATAAAGTACTCACTATATTAAAAGACATGGCTCTGACAATTCCAAGTTTCAGCTGCCCACTATGTTCCCAGCCACTTCATCTTTTAAATGTGTTTAAAGCATTAACAACAGATTGTGTTTCACCCTAGAGACAGCTGGGTTTCAAAGAAAAGTAAAATTTTTCATAATCTCACTCTATTGTCCAAGACAAATGTGCTATTGTATTACATGTGAAGTGTGGTCTTTGAAGTCTATTAAGGGTGTGCTGTGAGGTGAGCCAACTGGAAAATACAATGTAAACAGAAAAATAATTATAAGTTAGTTTATTACTTTTTTTTTCCAGTTAAGCCTACCACGACAGCTGCTAAAAACACTATGTAGTATAAAGGGTAAAAAGACTCTGAAGTTGCACAAGTAATACCCATCTCCAATAACGATTAGCTAGTATACAAGTCACTCAACTTCTCTGATCCTTTTGGCTTGTCTGTAAAATTGAAATATGGACACATTCCACAAGGAGTTTTATGACTGTTAAATGAAACAACAGTGCAGGCGCAGTGGCTCAAGACTGTAATCCCACCACTTTGGGAGACCGGGTCGGGCAGATCATGAGGTAAGCTTGGCCAATATGGTGAAACCCCGTCTCTACTAAAAATACAAAAATTAGCCGGGCGTGGTGGCTGTGCCTGTAATCCCAGATACTTAGGAGGCTGAGGCAGGAGAATAACTTGAACCCGGGGGGCAGAGTTTGCAGTGAACCAAGATCGCGCCACTGTACTGCACTCCAGCCTGAGCAACAGAGCAAGACTATCAAAAAGAAAGAAGGAAAGGAAGGAAGGAAGGAAGGAAAGAAGGAAGGAACGAACGAACGAACGAACGAACAGTTGTAAAGCACTTGGGACAGAGTACACAATAAGTGGTATTTCTCTTCTTCTAAATATAGATTATATGATATTCTTTATACAGGGATTATTAGATAAAATCTAATCATATTTGGAAATCAGGTTGAACAGGTTGGTTTTTCAAAGAAATCCACTGAGCTTCCATATATGTCCTTTCTATTTGATGGAGAAAAGGGGCTTTGAAAGATCAAGTTTGAAGCTTTAGAATTCTGTCTGGAGCAGGTTAGGACCACCCAGGCGTGTGAGTATAAGCAAAGCGCTGTCCGTGGTGCTAGTAAGCGCGAAGGCCCCCGGCACCATTTTCCCTACCCAAAGTTGTTTTTCAGCCGACTTGCTTAGCGAAGCTCCCACATCTGTCTCGTCATTATACTCACCCATTGGTTCTTTCCCTATCACCATTCTTTGTGCTCCCGTCAAAGAAGAACACTATCTTCCATTTCCCTATCAACTACAAACAGTTTTCATTTTTCAGACACATTTACCACCTAAGAAATGGCTCGGGAATTCGCTCAGACTATCTTGTCCTAATTTTTTTGATAAGTTTCAGAGAAACTCAAAGGTCAAAGCAAGAGCATAGGAATCATTTTTCTTTTTTGAGACTGAGTTTCACTCTGTCACCCAGGCTGGAGTGTAGTGGTGCGATCTCAGCTCACTGTCACCTCCGCCTCCCAAGTTCAAGCGATTCTCCTGCCTCAGCCTCCTGAGTAGCTGGGATTACAGGCACGCACTACCACGCCCGGCTATTTTTTGTGTTTTCAGTAGAGACAGGGTTTTGCCGTGTTGCTCAGGCTGGTCTCAAACTCCTGAGCTCCAGCGATCCAGATCCACACACTTCGACCTCACAAAGTGCTGGGATTACACGCATAAGCCACTGCACCCAGCCTCTAGAAACATTCATTTCTGATGCCTCCTTTGAAAACTCTCTTCGATTGGCATCTCCTCTTAGAAACTTTCCTTGAACCCTCACTCTAAATTAGGTTCCAGTCTTCCTTACTTCCAAAGCACCTTGTAGATATATCTCAGTAAAGTAACTTTAAATACATTAAATTGAAACTATTTATTATTTTCTAGTGCCACTACAGAGTTTCTTAAAAGTGAGGACTCATGTCTTTTTCAACTTGGAACTTCTCGGGATATAAGACATGCTGCATTACTTACTTTGAACTAAACTTAATAACTGTATCTATGAGAGAAAAGATCCCAATAACAAAAAGGCAACCTTCCTTGTTGCATTTGACTGTGCACTACATTTTGGAGTAACTAGGCTTTTCTGATGAAGATATTCTCGACTGTTTCTTTGCCACCACATCCACCACACCAGTCTAGTGGCTTGGCCCCTCAGGGTGAATGGTAAAGAACCAATGTCATTCATTTTAAAGGCTCCTGCTTCCCACTGCCCATCTTTCTTCCTCTTTCTCCTATTGTACCTACACATCTGTTATCCCCAATACACTATGCATGGGGGCTGATTTCCTAGACAAAAACAATCTGTTCATGTGTTTCACCCAGAAGTAGACTTTGGTTCCTCTAGTCAAATCTAAAAATGGAGTGGACATCAACAAATAAAAGGGCATTTTTACAGATAAACATGGAAGTTTGAATAAAAGTGAAAGGTAGAGGTATTAAGAAACTGAAGACTAGGAAATGGAGGTTGAATGGTAAAGACAAAGAAATTGTTATTAATGTTAAGCAGTTCCCTTCCCTGTCCAGGTAGATTTCAGCTCTGTTGAGGATCTGTCAGATTTTCAGCCCTAACCACCACTTCAATGGGCACCACTGCCTTTAAAAGAAAGCTTTCTCTCATTCTACAGGGATTTGGGGGATGAGTCGTCAGAGCTGAGGTATTCTAGAAGAAACAGGTGGAGACTCTCATTTCGCAATATACAACCAATTGCCCTCCTTTTAAAACTTCGTCTTCCTCAGCACTCTGAACCAAAATGATTCTGTAAATAAAAATTGTTCACTGTAAGGAGAGCTTCACTTGTGTAGTTCCTCACCAAAGTTTTTAGGCAACAAATCCATAATTTGCGGTTTTCTTCCTAGTCAATGTAGCATCAGCTGAAATTTTTTAAATAAAGTAATAAATGTTAATTCAACCTCACCTAGGAAGATTAGAAAGGGGAAAAAAGCACTTGGCATTTAAATCTTCAGAAGAGAATTTAATAACAGGTTCAACCTGTTTAATGACAGGCCCAGCACCACACCCTTCTCTTATTATGTTTCATTATTACTGCATAAATTTCCTTTACTACTCACGATAAATAAAAAATTAAACGCTTGACAAAGTGGGTTTAAACAGGTAAGAGTGCAAACAAAGATTTACTGTACAAATATGATGAAACTGGGATCTCGGATTCTTAAAGTATAAATATTTTTTTGTCTTCTGTGTTCCAGGTTGCCACTCGATCTCTAGTTTTTTTTTTTCTTTTTTGAGCTTTATATCTATAATGCAAAGACGGAAAGAATTTAAAGGCACATGCAAAACAGGATTCTCACGACTCTTCTCTATTTTTATGGTTGACTAATTCAAACAGGAAGACACGTCCAAAAGAAAATTACTAAGGTTGACACAAGATATGAAACTTACGAGGTTCAAGTACTGCCTGGGATGAATTTTACTTGTATGACAGGTGCAGAGCTGTCGCTTTCAGACATCTTAAGAAATACGGAGTTATTTTCAGTGCTTTTCTCTCGGCCACAAGGGAGCCACCAACATCTCCCCAGTGAAACCAGCTGGCCTACGGCTGAAGGAACAGAAGTCCTCTGCTCCGCCCACTGGGAATTAGAAGCTGAGGGCTGTGGGTCAACATTCCCAAAATCTTAGCCTTGGCTTTACTGGACATCCAGCTAGCTGTGCAGCCGGCGTCGCAGCGGCTCCCGGGCCCAGTCTCCGGCGCATGCGTCCCAGCACCTTTGGGCGGGCTTCCTCAACTTGACGCGTCGGCCGGGCCCCGCCTCCCCGCGAGCAGGCGGGCAGGGGGCGGAGCCTAAGGGGGTGGGGAGAGGCAGGCCCCTCGGCCCAGCTGAAAACTGAATTGTTTGCCGGCTGGCTCCCCACTCTGCCAGAGCGAGGCGGGGCAGTGAGGACTCCGCGCCGCGTCCGCACCCTGCGGGAGAGCCGCTTTGAGCTCGGCTGCGGCCGCGCGAGGCGCTTTTTCCCAGAAGCAATCCAGTCGCGCCGGGTGGTTCTTGGGCGTCAGGAAAAGCCCGGAGCTAATACCCGCCGCTCTGCCATTGCACGGGGCCGCAAGCCACAGACGGACGTCGGAGGGGAATGAGGCTGAGCCCGGCTCTCCCAGGAAGAAGACAGTGCGCCGGAGCGGCGTGGGAAAGAAGGGAGGAGTGTCGTTAAGTTTACGGCCCACGGTGGATTATCCGGGCCGCTGCGCGTCTGGGGGCTGCGGAATGCGCGAGGAGAACAAGGGCATGCCCAGCGAGGGCGGCAGCGATGAGGGCCTGGCCAGCGCCGCGGCGCGGGGACAAGTGGAGAAGGTGCGACAGCTCCTGGAGGCCGGCGCGGATCCCAACGGAATCAACCGCTTTGGGAGGCGCGCAATCCAGGTAGCTGGGGCCCCGGGGCCTCGCCGGTAGGGGGCGCGCGAACGCGGGCGCGGCCTCGGCGGGTCGGGGCTGGAACCGAGATCGCCGGTGTAGACTTACACGGCAGTCTCCATTGGCCGGAGGTGTGCAGCTCAGGCGTAAAACAGGCTTTTACCCAACAAAAATCCTAAAGAGAGAAATTGAAAAACCCTCTGTTTCAGCTTTTCTTTAAAAAATGGTTTTCTGCCATCTCATGATCAGAGATGCAAGGAATAGATTGAATTGGGGGAAAAAGGAGAAAAGGAAAGTTTATTTGGGGAGGAAGACCATCCTGTCTGCCTGCTTTCAACGATACAGATAACTAACCTAAGTTATACATTCTGGATTGGATTTAAGGAATTCTACAAAATCATAGTACATGGAAAAAATTCAGTGTAAACTTTTAAGCTATTATATGAAATCTGTTGTATTGTTTTCTCATAAAGGTTAATTGAATTCAAAGGAATGAGACTGCTGGATTCCTCAACCATAGTACTTAGTTCTTTTTATGTTAGCAATGTCTTATAAATGACGCATAAGAGAAAAATATATACATATAGTTCTATAGATTTTTCATTTAATTATCATATTCAGTGCCCAGATTACAAAAATATTCCTGCAGCAACTGTTAGGTCCTTTTTGAGTGGCAAAGGATCTTCATAAATAATGTATCTTTATCTTCATTGTTAAAGTACTCGTATTCAATGTTTACGAATCCTGCTTTAATTAGTGCTGATATTTTTAATTTCTTTTACAATCTTAGGACAACGCTTTCGTACTTTTCCGCTGGTTATTGGTCATATTCAGTATTCACCTCACTATCACCCTCCAGAACTAAGCTAATACTAAGGGATCTTGTTAACAGTGTAGATTTTAAAGAAGTTTCCATTTCTTTTGAATTCTTAGAATAGTAGTGTAACAAATAAGGGATATTTTAAAGGAGCAAAAATATTGTAAAGTGGTTCTTAAAAAACAAAATTCTATTAATAATTATAAAAACAAGTTATATATTTAATTCACTATTTTCTGAAATACTAAGAACAGCTATTTTCCCCCTCTGTTTTCTATGTAAAATACCCTTATATCGCTTTACATATTTCTATGGAAAATACCCTTATAACTTATCATGGTTTTCAAGGGAGGAAATGAACATTTCTAATATTAATGAAACAAGCAAACAAAACATGAGAAGTATACTGCCTTTCAATTAAATGGTACATTTTAAAGTACATACACCCATAACTTGATTTGGGACATTTAGTTACCAAAAACTGTCTTATAATTAACTTAAAATATGTCAGCAAATGTTTTCATAATGTTCATGTACACAAATGGCTGCTATAGGATTACTCCTGCAAAACGCTTTTTCTAAATTATGCATCATCCTGATTGACTGCTAACATCCAAGCTCTTTTTATTTAATTTTATTTTTTATTTTTTGAGACGGGGCCTCTGTTGGGCAGGCTGTGCAGTGGTACGATCTCAGCTCACTGCAACCTCACCTTCCAAGGTTCAAGTGATTCTCCTGCTTCAGCCTCCCAAGTTTTGGGGGCTGTAGGCAGGCCCACCACTCCCACCTAATTTTTTTTTTTTTTTTTTTTTTTTTTGAGACAGGATTTTACCATGTTGGCCAGGCTGGTGTCAAAACCCCTGACCTCAGGTGATCTGCCTGCTTCTGTCTCCCAAAGTGCTGGGATTACAGGCCTACAAATTTACTATTTAACGTTGTAAAATCTTAGCTATTGTAAAATCCTATAGTATATAAATATATTGTTAGTTTTAGACTACATTAAATATATTACACTCTAAAATGATGAACTGTTTAAGAAAAATCATTTGTTCTCACAATTTTATAACATTTGGCATGATTTAATTTACTTTTCCCTTCTAATCTCCAACTCTGGCTCAAATTATCACACTACAATCTGTTTATGAACACAGACACAAGATAAAAGCCTTCCACGCAGGATTTGCTGAGAACTAAACTTTGTTTTTAAAACGCAGTGGTTTATTTTCTCCCCTAAACCATTACTCCCAACTTCTAACAAACAGTAGTTGGCTTCCTAGTAAATATTTTGAGACCTAGATTATGAAGGAAGGGTCAGCAAAGCAAATAACTTAAATTTTTAAAAGCCAAATAAATTTAACTGTGCCTATAAATCATTTAACAAAATAGATTCACATGTTCCGATGGAAATTAACATTTGTTTTCCACAATGACGATCATCACATTACCATCAACTTGCTTGTCTCTGCACGTTTAGAGAATAAAATGGCATTTAATTTGTACTGAGTAGAGTATAACCTGAAGGTTGGGTGAGAAAGCAGATTGCATCAGCAAATGAAGAAACACCAGACACCAGAGACCCGAACACCTCTGCACTGGGTGGATACAGTACTTCACAAATAGGTGTTTGTTTGAATGGCTCCGCCCACCTCACCCCGGCCGGCACCTCCCACACCTGACTCCACCCTGGCTCTGACCACTCTTCTCTCTCTGGCAGGTCATGATGATGGGCAGTGCTCGCGTAGCAGAGCTGCTGCTGCTCCACGGTGCCGAGCCCAACTGTGCGGACCCTGCCACTCTCACCCGACCGGTGCACGACGCTGCCCGGGAGGGCTTCCTGGATACGCTGGTGATGCTGCACCGGGCAGGGGCGCGGCTGGACGTGCGCGATGCCTGGGGCCGTCTGCCCTTGGACCTGGCTGAGGAGCGGGGTCACTGCGATGTTGCAGGGTACCTGCGCGCGGCTGCGGGGGACTGACGCCGGGTTCCCCAGCCGCCCACAACGACTTTATTTTCCTCCCCAATTCCCCACCCCTTCCCACCGAATTAGATGAAGGCTGCAAAAGGAGAGCGGCAGGAAGCCTGTAAACCTACAAGCCGTCTGAGACTGGCAGGAAGGGGGAGCAGACCGGGAATAACCTTCCATACCTTTTTTTTTTTTTTTTTTCCTGGATCCAGCCCTCGACAGTCACCGTAAAGCCAAACACAGGAGGATTTCCAGTGATATTTAGGAGTGTGTGAAGTTCAGGTGTCGTTTGCTTTTCAGGGTTTTCTCAGGGAAAGTGAATATGAAATCCTTGACCAACCTTGGCGGCTACTAATCTTCCAACGGATGACTCCAGCGCCGAGTGGGAGACAGTCGTGATTGGCATTTGGGTGGGAGCAGTCCATGCGTTCACCCCACTGTCTGCTGAGGAGTTCTGGTGAACCCACAGGTTAGGCCCTAGCGGGGAAAAAGGAAAACCTGAAGACTGAGGACAAAGTGGACGAGGGCTGAGGTGGGCTTCAGTAAGTGATCGGTGCTTTAGTTTGGCCGCTTAGCAAGTCCAGAACAGAAACCACACTCTCTGGAAGCCCTGGGGACCCGCGCCCAGCTCCACCAGATAGCAGAGGGGTAAGAGAGGACGTGCAAGCGACGACAGATCTACCCCCAAAAATCGTCGTCGTCGTCCTAAAATCCCTGGACTACGATGCTGCAGAACACCTTTGCAGAGGGTGTTGGCCTTTGTTCTTACTGCACTGAGGAGAGATTACCGCGGCGTCCGGAGGCAAACTGTGTAGGATGAGATGGTGAAGTGGAATGAGAGCGATTGTAACGGTTAACTGTAACGTTTTCTTTCTTACACACAAGCGTGAGTGCGCATGAATTGCTACTTTTTGCTTCTCCGATATTTTGTATTTTTTAGTTGTTCAGTAACTGTCTTATTTAATGGGGAGATTTTAGATAACATTATAACTAGTGGCTCTCAGTTAAAATGTGAGGAAGAACTACAGCTTTTAAATGTAGCCATGGCACTGTAGCAAGCTCTGTGCAAACTCCTAGATTGCTTTCTCTTTAACCTATTTATTTCTTTGTTAATTTCTTTGTTAATTTCTTTATTTCTTTGTTAATTTTTTCTGATTGTTTCCTTTATAGAGTGTCTCAGAGTGCAGAGGTCAGACTAAGAAATATTCCAAATGTCTTTTAGAAGATAGATGCACTTATGTAGTAAATTATCTTGGGATATTTCCCAAAAGACTGCTGAAAAAAAATAGATTGAGTGTAAAAACTGTTGTAAATATATGATGGCTTGTGGGATGTCCTACTATCTACTGAACAAACTAAAGATGTACTGCTTTGGGATTTAATTTCCAGTGTTGCTTATTATATCATTGGAAAAAAACTGATACTTCACTGCTTTAATAAAGAACTAACAGATTGAACTCCAAGAGGTGGGTAATTAGGTTTAAAAATACATGTTCATGGATTTACCCCTAACTCCTGAGAAATGTTAAAGGTTCACAGGGGTTCCCTTATCTCAACATTTGTAATAATTATTTATAAGTAATACCAACAATTTATAAAAACTGCTTACATATGCCACAGAAAATTAAACATAAAATTTATACATGTATTATGCTTCTGAATGCTCATTCTACTACACATTTAAAAGAGGCAAAAAGAAACAGAAAAAAGTAATTTGAGAGTAGAGACTTGTAAAGAAGAGTACATTTGAGCTATAAACACACAACTCTTCACTGCTTTAACAATTCCTGTTCCCAAAACGAACATATTTCTGGGGACAGTTAGTTGAGAATCAGAGAATATGTCACTGGAGAAAGGATATGTTTATTGACATATAATCTGTACCAGGCATACATTAAAATACATTTGTTCATTTAATACTGAAACCTGAGAGATAGGTATTGTTTCCCAGATGAAGACAATGAGGTAAAGAAATAATCAAATAACTTGCCAAAGGTCAGAAGATATTCGTTCCATGGATGCAAAAAGTAAGTGCATTCTGGTTCAAAAGCCTATTATGGCTGTCTTGCTTTTCTTCCCATCGCACCAGCATGTCCTCCAAAATCATTAATGATGCACATGAAGATAACTTAAGGAAAAAAAAAAAACAGAAATACACAATGATCTCCCTCATAAGTTCCTAAGGAGGCTTTTCTTTCTCTAACTTCTGGTAAATACAAACAGCTTGTTTCAAATCTATTTTAAAATGTCAACAATATGGAGAATAGCCCCCAAAAAAACACCTATAAAAACCCAAAATTTTGGAACAAGGATAATGGAACCTCCATTTTCAAATTAAAGCACACACAGGGACAGAAAATATTCTAGTTATCACTTAAGCACTCAACATTATGGGCTACAAGAATAATATTTTTAAAGTTACAGTATTTTACAATTCCTAGAAAACAGTCTGTATAAAAGAAGTCAATTGATAATTTAAAATCTCCCTTTTGATTTATAAAATCCCTTAATTTGACCTCTGTGTCTAAAATTCCAAGATGTTTAAATTTGCTAGTCGCATGATACTGGGTCATGAAAAATTATCCCTTGAATTAGATATGAAACATGTTACTTCATTTCTAGAAAGATTTCATAACTTGTGGAATCTTTCCTAATGACAACCTGATATTAAGGGAAACTTAAAAAAAAATGTTATTGCGGATTACACAGTACTATATTACATTGATTTTTGTTTTGTTTTGTTAGTTTTTTCTTTTCCTTTTTTTTTTTTTTTTTTGGTATAAAGCAAATCTAAAACATTATTGAGTATCAGTTACCACCTGGTTGTACTGAAATAGTAACTTATTAATGCCATGTAAAAATTAATTCCATTTTTGAAGCCACCTGGCAGACAGGTTTAGCTGTCTCATCAACAGCCTGAAGAAATACATACTGTTAAATTTGTTATTCACTTTGAAAGATACATGCAAAAACACAGTTACTATTTTTATGAGTCCTGTTTCTGGCTCCATTGTGGAACTACAGAAAATTAAATATACCTGTTAAGTTCTATATCTAAATCTAAGACATTATCAAGGTTTGTACAAATTCTACTACCTGACATTTATTCCAAGAAGGTCTGTAAAGTTAAATACATTTACAAATTTAATAATATTCATTTGGCTTCATTTTTGTCTTTTTTCACCAAAGCGGATGAATTTTTTAAGGGTGTTTTGCTATGAAAGCAAAATCTATGTAAAATTTCTCGTGCTTTAAATGGTCAAAATTAGTAATTTCAGAACTAAGGAATAAAACAGATTCAAGAGGAAAGCTTGAGACTGATAAAACCTCAAACGACTCTGGGAAAATGTATACTTAGGAATGCTTTCATGATACTTTATTTACCTAGTATGGCAAGCACAATATAGTGTCTAGGGCCAAATAATTAATCTTATGAAGCTAGGTAACTGCCCTTCAACAAATGTATACAACTGATTTCATTTACACTTACACTGAGAGTCTACATTGCCCTCCCTTGTTTGGAAATATTAAAAACACAGTGCGTGCATTGATATGTAATAGTCAATAGGGTTCTTTTTCTCTTTTTGCTGACTCTATAATTACTCCCTCAATTGTTTTAAATGGTGAAATATATGCTCGTTTTCTTTTTATGCTTTACCAGAGATGTATTTTTTAATCATAGGGCATAATTTTTACAATGTTCAATACACTGCCACTCTATCAAAAGCTGAGCAAGTAAAATTAATGCTCTGCAAAACTTAGAAACATTATCTGAAGAAGCACTCTTGTGAACTGCCTTCTGGGGCAAATGTGAAAGCCAGAATCTTCTAAGTACAGTGAGGTCTGACCTCATGTTTTATGTCAGCAACTAATCATAACCAAATTCTGACACGTTTACTAGATTTTCAGTATTAACAGAAACTAGTTAATTTGATGAAAACTTGGAAAATAATGCTTAGGCTGATGTAATTCACAGTGTCCAATTACTAAGCTACAAATAGATAACTAGATACACAATCACATATATATGAAAATAAGAAAATTTTAATTTTAGAAATTATTTGAAGGAGCAACAGTTGAGCCTGAATACTTTCAATATCTTCCTAGTCTATTTATAACAACAGGTAAGAAAGAGGGAATGAAGGAAAGGGAAACCAGGACTCAACTGGAAGACAGACCTAGAGTCCCACAATCATTCTTTAACTAATTCGATATATGAGTGCAAACTCATGTAACATCCCTACTATTATCCTTCATAGCTGAAAAGTTTCTATAAAACTTTTCTCCATTTCATCTATCCAAATGAAATTACTCCTTTCTTACCTCTTAAACTTCTTACTCAGAAGATTTTACTATCATTCCTTGCATAAGGAAAAGAAATAACTTCATTTTATAGAAACACAGTAACTTTCACATATAGAACCTGTTAATTACATAATAAAAGAAAATTTGAACACTGGTGCTGCTAATATGTAACTGGCACATACTGTACATTAAGAACAGTAATGTAAATTAATGTATGAGTCAATAAGCACCAAGCCTGACTTACCAATTTGAGGTGTGAATAAACATAAAACTAAGATTTTGCTGGAAATAGAACTAAGAACAATGTATTAGGATGACTTGCTGACTACCTCACAGGGATCCCCATTACACTAGAAGTTTACCAAGGACCCCAACCACCTATTAATCCGCTTCCCACTCAGAAGCCCCTGGCATTAGACTTCCAGTAGATAAATGGAGTCAGCACTGGCACAGAAAATATTTTACAACAGAGTTCCATTCAAAACTTTAAGACCAATTACAGTAAGTAAACCATGTCTTATTTCTTGTATTTGGCCTCTTCCCCAAATGCATAATCTATCTATCCTCTCATTATCAATGCTCTCTATTATGAGAATCTTGTCTTACATGACCTCCAGGTCTCCATTCTATTTTAAACAAATTCCCTTCTATCTTCTATCTGTGCACAAATTCTTCTATTTCCTTAGCTAAAAACTTTTAGTCTTGGCTAAAAACTGGGTCTTCCTCATAATTCCATTACACTTTTTTCTGCACTAGTTACTAGGTACTGAGCTATGGGTAACAGAGCAAGAGTCAGGACCAAGAATGAGTGTCTGGTATTTAGGTGGCTCTCAATATAATCCCAAACCAAATATGTAAGGATTATCCATTGTTCTTCAGGTTTCTCTCTTTTAGTATAAATAATTGCATTTTTTCTTTAATTAAGCTGCAAATAGTGTTACTGTTTGTTATATACTTTAGAATATATTTATAATCAATAATACATAAACATAAAACAATAAACAGTTTATTCTGTTTATAAACTTACAGACAAGTCGGCAGATGATTGTCAACACAGAGTTTTCTTCTGGAGGGGGACTGTTGGAAAGATGTAAACAGCATGACTCTTCATTCCATCTGAGTTATGAGTTTGTAAGCTCTATCACTTTTCCTAGAGGACAGAGGTACCCTTTCATCCTGCGAATCTCCTGCTGAAGTGTCACCTATAATATTGCCTGAAAAACATTTGATCATCCTCTATTACTTGCTCATTTCTGGACTGTCTTTGATATTTAGTTATCACAATAAGCCTATTTCAAAATTAGTAGTTTCTAATATGTTTCAAGACCATCATAAACAGAAAGATTCAAGGTCATCCCCTTTCTAGGGAAGCATAACACTTTACTCCACATTTGCTCCGAAGTATGTCTTATGTCTACACAAGAATGGTGTTTGCCTCTGCAGTCATTTGAGGCCAAGAAGTTTAAAACCCCTTCCACTTAAGAAAATTGGTTCTCAACCCTGGCTCTATGTCAGAATTACCCATGGGGATCTTTTAAAATTTAGACTGGCTGATCAGCTCCAGGTCTACAAAATTAGGATCTCTAGGTTTGAGCCCCAGCATTCCTATGGTTGTTATTCAATAATTCTTGCTCATGGTAAACTTTCCAACAGTCCAGAAAGCAAAAGGCAGTAAGCAAAAATCTGAAACTTTCCCACCCTCACTCTTACTAGCCAAAGGTAACCCCTATTACAAATATTTAATTATCTTTGCAGAAACATAAGTGCATATAATTGCAAACACCTCTCCCACAGCACGCATATTTGGAAAACACGAATGGGACATTATTCTGTCATTTGCTTTCTTTAATTAGCAATAGATCTTTGACAACTTCCATTGTCAGTGCAGATAGATGTACTTCACTATTTTTTTATGGCTTCACAGTTTTGTATTTTATGAATGAGGCCTAACTTAAAAAAAAAAAAATTGGTCTCCTTTTAAGTACGTCAATCATTTCTCTCTCTCTTGCACTTTTTTTATGCTAATACACACTGCTATAAAGAAACATTTCTGCATATTTATACAAGTTATCTGTAGCAATTTATATAGGAGTGAAATTGCTTTAGCTGAAGGTACATCTCTGTATGTCTGTGCATGTAAAATCTATCCATATACATGTATCCATGCACGTATGTATATATGTGTACATATATATGTATATGTCCCATACTTACATGTACATGTGTACATATGTGTATATAAACATATGTATTATATATATTTCATATGTGTGTTGTAGGAATAGAATTGCTGAGTTAAAGGGTGTATATAAGTATATATACAAACATGAACATATAACATATGAACTATGTATAACATATACTATGTATGTATATATATGTTTCAATACATTATTTGTACATCTTTACATACTTAAAATAGTAAAATAGCTGAGTCAAAACTATATATACATACAGTTTTGATAACCATTGTAATGCTGCCTTTCAAAACAATTACACCAAGTTGTAATCGTAAGAGTGATTGTTTTCTGACAACTTTGTCAAAGTTGTCAGTCTTTTTTCCTTTTGTCAAAATTGTGGTTATATACGATTGTTTCTGTTTACATTTATTAACAAGTAAGATTATCTTTTCATTTATTTGTGACCATTTGCACATATTCTACTATAAATTGTTATATTCTTTGCCCTTTTTATTGGATTGTTGTTTTACTGGATTATCTATTTATATAGTCTAGAAATTAATCTTTTGACAATGATCAAATAATTGTTTTTTAATCTTGCTTATAGTGTCTTTTTTCTTATGACTTTGGGGTTTTGAGTTTAAGCATGTGTACTGTTAGGAAAGTTTCTCATGAAATTTGGATAATCAAGAGTTACCTAAGGGATAAAGCTAGTGTCACAGGACATTAAGCTGGGGTAGGAGGAGAACGAGACAAGGAATATTCTGTAAGATTTTTCTCTCCTATCTCTGCCTATGGGGTGGATCTGCTGATCTAAAACAGAAAATTGTTTACCCCTGTTAAAAAAAAAACACTCAGAGAATTAACTTAGTTTTTTAGATCAATGGAAGAGAACCCAAGAAAGTTCCAATATTCAGTGATTCTGTCTGCATAAGTGACCCACCGATAACTCGTTCCCTGTGGACTCTGGCCTTAAGGACAAAAGAAATGGCACAAGGCTTGCAGTCCAAAGGACTACCTGATGATTTCATCCCTGGCTTTTCCTGGTGATGAAGTGTTCAAGATTTGAGCCTATCTAGGCCTCATTCTTTTCACCTGTTAAACAGGGGTAATAATCCCAATTTTTGAAAGGCCACTGTGAGGATAAAATAAGTAATATAAGTGAAAGTACATACCCAGTTCTTCATTACTAATTTTTTGAAGAGCACATAGCCAAAAGACACTCCGAATTCCAAAAGTTTTGGAATACCACATACCCATTGTTATGCTAGAGAGTCACCTCCATCGTTGTATTTTGCTGAAACTAATACTAAACTTAGAATTCCCCTGCATACTGCATCTGAAAGAGAAAAGGTGTTGGGCGGCAGCAGCTGGGAAAACCAAGACAGAATTTATATGTTCAAATTTTAATATTTACATTTTTTTAACAGAAAGCTTACAATATAATTATCCTCTTATTCAGACAGCATTCCTCTGACCTAAGCAATTAACATTATCCCTATGGCAAGTTCCCGTGGAGACAAAATGATTATACTTTAAACTATATGGGCCCAATAAATATAGATCCCTCAATTTAAATTTGATCGTCAGAAAACTAAGGGTCAGAGAACCCCTCAGGCATGATGGGATAATATGATGGTTAATTTTGCCTGTGTATCCAGTTCTTTAGTCGAACATCAGTCTAAATATTGCTGTGGAGGTATTTTTAGATGTGATTAACATTTAAGTCAGTAGACTTTAAAAAGATTATCCTGAATAATATGGATGGCCCTCATCCAAGCAGTTAAAGGGCTTAAGAGAAATGACTGAGGTCTCTCAAGGAAGAAGAAATTCTGCCTCCAGATTGCCTTTAGATTCAAGACTTGCAACATCCACTCTTCCCTGGGTCTCTAATTTGTCAACCCCCACCATCTCCTGAGACAACTCCTTAAAATAAGTCTCCTTTCTCTTTCTCCCTCTCCCCCCATATGTGTGTTCAGACATATAATCTAGGTATATATAAAATTGTATATACACACACACACACACACACACACTCATGTGCTGGATAATGATGCTTCAGTCAATCACAGACCACATATTGGTGGTGTCCCATAGGATTATAATGGAGGTGAAAAATTCCTATCCCCTAGTGATGCCATAGCTGTCCTAAAGTTGGAGCACAACATATTACTTTTTCTATGTTTAGATATAAAACTATTTATTACAATTACCTGTTCACTACAGTAACGTGCTATAAAGGTTTGTAGCCTAGGAGCAACAGACCATACCATATAGCCTAGGTGTATAAAAGACCCTACCATGTAGGTTTGTACATGGTGTATGCACAACAATGAAATCACCTAAAGATACATGACTGAGCATGTATTCCTGTTAAGCAAACCCATGACTGTGTGTATATACGTATACATATGTGTGTGTGGGCACACAAACAATTGGTTCCGTTTCCCTGGAGAACTGACTGAAATAGCGACTTCAAGAGACGTTTAATAAGTGCCTTTTCTTCTCTCCCCACCATGCTTTATTGGAACAACTAGCCATATTGTCTAGGCCCAAGAAACTCTCACCGCCCCCATCCCATTCCTCCTTTAAATGACACGATGCTGGCATCTGGCATCATTTTTCTTTCAGGATTAACTAACCCTTTCTAAAGTGCCCTTCCTTTGCAGGACATAAAACCGAATGCCCTTGTACAGAGGCAGAGGCCGGGTTCCGGTGGGGTGGGGGGAGGGGAATGCTGGCGGCGTGTCATAGGTGCAGAGCGAGACACAAAGAAGGATCTGGTTCCCATGGAGCTGACATTCTACACAACAAAAATACATAACGAAGACAATTTCTTCATCCTAAATGTCATAAAGGAAAAAATCACGGTGGTATGAGGGTGCCTGAAAAGGAAGTATTTCTGAGGAGGGGGATACTTCAGAAGAGGCCTGAAGGAGAAAGAGCTAGCCTTGTGAAGAGGGAGAAAGAGCAGTCATGCTAGACAGACAGGTGGCAAGCGGCCCGGGCACAAAGCATGGTGTTGGGTCAGTTCTGAGTGAACCCTACCTACTGGTGAGGTCTGTTTGTAAACATCTAAATAGATATTTAGAGTGGCTAAGTAAGAGTGATCGCTAAATCGCACTTCATCCAAAAGGCCCCGTTTTGTCTTGGGTTTGGATAGAGCTTCGGCAGCAAGGTCAAGTGATGGGGCGGGGGATGGGGCAGGAGAAGTTCGCGGCTCCTCTAGGCTACAGCACTGCCTTAGGTGGGCGGCTGGGCCTTCGCAGGCCTCGATTTCCTCCCGTGTAAGGTGCGGGTGGGGGGGGGGGGTTGACGTAAGGTCAAGCCTGACGTCTGTAAGGCCCGGTCGGCTCACGCTGTGGTTCCACTTCTTCAACTAGGCCACTAGGCCCAAGCGCAAGAACAGGAAGCCACTGAGAAGCCGGCCACATTTCCAGGTTCCGGGAGCTGGACCTAGTCCCGCATCCTCTGGCACACAACCAGCCACTCAGGCCGCGGCCCCCAGCCCGCGAGCCTCGGGACAGATCCGTCCAGACTGCAGGCTCCGGGTCGGGGCACCGGGTCAGCGCGCCGGCCTGAAGGCGGCGTCCTGGGCTCGACTTCCCGCGCGCGGAGAGCCGGCGAGCCCGCGTCCGAGCTCCTGGCTCAGAGCCGAGCCTCGCTAGACCGCGCTCAGGACCCGGCTCCGCCGCGTTCTCGGGCCGCCCCAGTGTCCTCGGCTCACCCCTCCTTTCTGCCGCTCCTTCCTTTCCTTGCCCTGCTGTTACTGTTCCCAGACAGGACCGCTTCTCCTGTCTCCCAGCTAGAAAGGAGGAAGGGAGAGAGTCCAGAGAGGATCAGTGATGTATAAGAAAAGTGGGGGTGGGGGGGACACGGAGGGGGAGACAGGAGCGGGGACGCCCGCCGAGGTGTCAGGCGGCCGGATCGAGGGGTGTCCGGGTGTCCGGGCGCCGGGCAGAGCGGGGAGGCGGCTGCAGCCAGCGGTCGCCAAGACAACCATCCTACGCCGGGACGCGGCGACCAGAGGGGAGCGGCCCTCGGGGGAGGGGAGCGCGGGGGGCGGGGGGTGTGGGGAAGAGGAAAGAGGAAGAAGCGCTCAGATGCTCTGCAGAGTCGTGAAGGTTAAAACCGAAAACAAAAACGGGCTAGATGCAAAGGACTCGCTTCTAGTCCCAGCCCGGCGCCCTGGGCGACGCAGGCAGCTGGGAGGGGAAGGGGCGCCGGGACCCAGCTGGGACCCCGGGGTGCGACTCCACCTACCGAGTCCGCCGCCGGGCCGGGCCCGCGGCTCCAGCAGCGCCACGCCGTGTCCAGATGTCGCGTCAGAAGCGTGCAGCGGTTTCATTTAATTTCGCTAGTTTTCCAAATCTAGAAGAGGAGCGGAGCGGCTTTTTGTTCAAAACTGACATTCAGCCTCCTGATTGGCGGATACAACAACGAGATGACCTCGCTTTCCTTTCTTCCTTTCTCTCTCTTAAATAATCTAGTTCGAAGAATGGAAGACTTTCGACGAGGGGAGGCAGGAATAAAACAAGGGTAATGAGGGAGCGGGGACGCAAGCAGCCCCAGAACCCGCCGGAGCGCGGCGGTTCCTGGTAGGGCCGCGTCAGGTGACGGATGTAGCGAGGGGGCGGGCTGCCTGGAGATGCGTTCCAGGCGTCCGGCCCCTGGGCCGTCCCCGCGGGACGCCCGCGCTGAGGGTGGGAAGATGGTGGTGGGGGTGGGGGCGCACACAGGGCGGGAAAGTGGCGGTAGGCGGGAGGGAGAGGAACCCGGGCCCCGAGCAGCCCGCGCGCGCGCCTCCCTAAGGGCGCCTCCGGCAGCCCTTCCCGCGTGCGCAGGGCAAAGAGCTGTTCCGAGATCTTGGAGGTCCGGGTGGGAGTGGGGGTGGGGGCAGGGGGTGGAGGTGGGGGGCGGCGCGCTCAGGGAAGGCGGGTGCGCGCCTGCGGGGCGGAGATGGGCAGGGGGCGGCGCGTGGGTCGCAAGTCTGCAGTTAGGGGCGCAGGAGCGGCGCTGCTCACCTCTGGTGCCAAAGGGCGGCGCAGCGGCTGCCGAGCTCGGCAGTGGAGGCGGCGAGAAAATGGTGCGCAGGTTCTTGGTGACCCTCCGGATTCGGCGCTCGTGCGGCCCTCCGCGAGTGAGAGTTTTCGAGGTTCACATCCCGCGGCTCGCGGGGGAGTGGGCAGCGCCAGGGGCACCCTCCGCTGTGGCCCTCGTGCTGATGCTACTGAGGAGCCAGCGTCTAGGGCAGCAGCCGCATCCTAGAAGACCAGGTAGGAAAGGCCCTCGAAAAGCCCGGGGCGCATTCGCCAATTGTTTTCTTTAGTGTGATTTCAAAAACAGATAGATCGTCTCTAGCACAGGCTAGGAGGAGGAGGTAACGGCAGTGGAGGCTTCCCCATTCGGGTTACAACGACTTAGACATGTGGTTCTCGCAATACCATTAAGCCTGGAGTCCCCTTCATACAGCCCCTCAATCGTGTGAAACTGAGGCGAACAGAGCTTCTAAACCCACCTCAGAAGCCAGTGACTCCCAAATATTCTGGGTGGGAGTGACTAAGCCGCCCCCCACCCCCAACACATACACACACACTTTCTTTCTTCCTAGGGGGAATATTGCTAACCGTCTAAGTTTTCTGCAGGGGGCCTTTTTTTTCCCCAGCCTCCTGGCAGGGTCACCACCTCCCACCTTCCAGGAGAGTAGAGGACCCGCGAGAGAAGGGGCACGCACGCAGTGACTTCCTGAAATGCTAACCAGGATCGTAGGATCAGTTACTGCTGCGAGGAGCAAACACTTGCTTCTTGGGGGGAGTTTTACAGCCAGCAGGGAAATGGGCTTTCTTTGTGAGTTAGAGGTAGAGGTCCGGCGGCCTGCGTGATTAAAACTGCTCCGGACAATGCTTGTATGTTTAGCAGACGACAGAACTGCAGAAATCCCAACTGATAATATTTTACTCATCTCAGACGACAGTTAACACAGTTTAAAAATGAGGCCTACTTCTTAAGAAACAGAATCCGAGGTAGTTTTGTCCTCAGATTGATAAATCTTGACCCAGCCGGTATAATTTACTACAACCAGGAAAACTGAAAGAATATACAGTTAAAATATGCACAATGCAAATAAAAACTTGTATAATAAGTCTAAAAGTAATTTAATGAGGCTTCACTTTTATGACCGTCCTTGTGGCATGCTTCGCCAGGAATATATAGCTTCAAAAAGCAAAGGCCAGCGGAGGGGTAATTATTTTTTTACTGCGATGTTGTCTCTTTCAAGTGGAAATATAAACCTGTTAAAACTCTGTGTTTAATTTAGTGTCTCAGTTTCTATTAGCAAAAATTTATAATCTATAGGATAAGCGCACATTTTTTACTTTTCATATTATGAAAGTTCATTTTTTTAAAAAAGTTATTCAAAGGAGCTTATAAAGGCCATTTCATGGCCTGTTGCTGGATTTAATTTTAATTCATTTTAAAATATTAGGAAGACCCTGGTTGTTTTTTTTACCAGTAGTTTATCCGTATCAGCAAAAATTTAGCCACTGTGATTCGTAACTGTTTGAATATAGTTCTTAATATTATTGTCTATATACAAATATTTATTATTCGGGGTTAATATTATTCTATATAAAATTATTCTATTTAAATTAAGTTGCTTCTAAAAATCTATAGTAACAAATTAGAAAATAGCAATGTATATAAATGCTGTAATTACATACTTTTTAGTTTAGGCATATAAAACATAACATTGAGGTTACTTTAAGTTAGAGAAAATATTTTATAGTAGGTTAATGTATATGCATAAAATGCAAAAAATATTTAAATGATAGGTTCATTGAAATAAATCATTTTTTGTTATTTAGGTATAAATCAATTTTCAGGACATATGTGAAAAGCCCAATCTTCAGGAAGTATCTGAAGATAGAACACACAGCTTGCATAGAATGTTTGTCTTGAAATATATGCAATTTTCAAATTTCATATGTAAAATGGTATACATAATATAAAATCTAGCAGTGTTAATTATAATATGTAATTATATATTTCACATGAATATATTTATGCCTATGTTTAAATTGATTTGGGAGTTTACATGGATACTAATTATGTTAGGATTTAAACAATTCCTTGAGAGGCACACGGGCTGACAATTGAATTATTTAATATCATTGCAAATAATGTTATTTTAATGTATTTTTTAAGTTTCTGCAAATATGTTTATTATGACTCTTTATTTTTTTATGATTGGAAATATGTATACTAAAATTCCACATTACCTGTTTCTTAACCACAGAAACCTGATAAATTCCCTCAGTTGATTTGTTACTTCTACCTTGGCACATTTATAAAATAGTCATATTTTTATTAGGAAGTTAAAATATTCATTTGTTTATAGCTATTTCAGAAGGCTGAGATTATTTTTTTCTTTAATAGCGTAGAGTCCTCTCAAGGTAAGTGCTGTGCAGTTAGTATAAACCATTATTCCCAATGCGTACATGATTCACAGTTTGTATTGTGTTCTAAATGAACCATGGCACTTTCAGAAATCAAGACTTAATATTTATTTTACTTCTTTGAGTACTCTTAAATTTTAGAAAGTCCATGATCATCCTAAGGTAGCAACAACATAGCCTATTACCATCTTTGTCCATATTTTACAGATCTATTATTCCGTATTAGTTCATCACTATCAACTACATGGTAGAGTTAAGCTAAACCATTTTCCCAATATATGAACAATTCCTGTTAGTAAAGTGATACAAACTGTCTCAAAAATACTGTCTTACAGCAAGGTTCAACCATGGGCCCAGTGCTTTTACACTTTCTACAAAGTCCTTGGAGAAACAGAGAAAATCCCACTTGCCTTCTGTACTACAACATCCTAGGCCAAACTAAAACTGAAATTTCACAGTAGAACACTGTATGTAGGCCAGGGGTGTCCAATCTTTGACCTTCCCTGAGCCACAAAGGAAGAAGAATTATCTGGGGACGCACATTAAATACACTAACAATAGCTGATAAGCTACAAACACACACAAACACACACACACACACACACACACACACACACACACAAACTCAAAAAAATCTCATGATGTTTTAAGAAAGTTTATGAATTTGTGTTGAGTGACATTCAAAACCATCCTGGGCTGCATGTGACCCTTGGACTCACAAGTTGGTCAAGCTTACCTTAGACCTTCCATCTGCTGCAAAACCCAGCCTGATACAAAACCCAACCTGATAAAAAGTTTTTCTGGTGCTTTATTTCTGCAGTGTAAGTTATATAAGTAATGGGTACAGTTTTTCTAAATAAAAAATTATTACATTGAATATGAATTTTTTAAAGCAAGTTACCTAAATTCTGATTCTCACATACCTAATTACTAATATCATCTCTATTTGTTGCCCAGTGAGATTAGTGTACCTCCTAAACTCCTCACCATCAAGAACAACAGTTTTGTATTATATATCAAGAATTTTAAAATGAACCCATACACTTTCATTCAGCTATTTTATATTCAGGCCTCATGCTAATCAAACAAAGGTTCTGACAAAGATTAATACAGACGGATAAGTAGTAGGAAGAAATAAAAAACTGCATAAAATTCTAGCAATAAAATGTTAAATTATGGTACAGTTATATTCTGGAACATCAGGTTTCTGAAGAATATGTAATAGACTGTTAAATGATTGCATTATAAAGTCAGGTTTTTTTAAAAGCAAAATTCAAAACAGTAAACAGTTCCCCTCCACCACCACCAAATTAGTTATAATGGTTTCCTCAGGAGGAGAGGGGTTGGGGGAAAGGTTGGTGATATTTATTTTCATCGTTTCACTTTTGAGTTTTCCAAAGTGCTATGACCATTATCACTAAAATATATGTGATTTCCAAAGCCTTTGGCACTGTAACAATCCTACATAGCGGGTGAACTAAGAACTTCTCTAGCCTTAGGTGGGTAAGGAGGGAAGAAAGGCAAGGAAACTGAGTTAAGTATCATACCCAAGGTCTGGGAAAGCCTGAGAGGGCTGTGATTTCAGAACCGTAATGCACGCTATGTCCAAGAAGTTCCATTTTAAACCCGTAAGTCCGTAGCTATATCCGTTTCCAAGGCTGCCCGGTTAGGCCTCTGGTCACAGAACTTGCGCCCTTCTTGGGATCCCTTCTCTCCGGCCCCCCTACCTCAGCCCACAAGCCCACTCTAGTCCCCTCCAATCAATTTCAGCCAGAGCTGGCCGCCTCTGCAGACACGCTGAGGGTGCAAGGGACCCGGACCCCAAAGAGCGCCTGAGGACAAGAGATGAGATGCTCGCTGCTCTTCCTCCGCTCCTCACCCCTACCATCCTCCTCCTCGACCCTAAGTTCCCCACTCTCTCAGTTCCTAGAGATGCTGCGGATCCCAGAGGCTTAACTGGCAGCTGAAGCAAGGCACTCCATCAAGAATTTGGATGCGTGGTTAAATTATCACTCCACCGCGCGCACTTTCCGCAGGAGCGATGTGATCCGTTATCTTAATTGTGGACCTGGGGTTCCACGTGGAAGACTATTGGGGTTTCACTGGTCGGAGTGGGGTGGGGGTAGGAGCAGGCAGAGTCTGAGAGGACGACAGGAAGGAGAGGACAGGAGGCAACTCTGGGTCAGCTCTCCAGTTTGGAACTGGCTAGGCCTTGTTTTGGAGAGGATGGGTGGAGAGAAGTGAGTCGGGGTTACTCGGAGGAACCACGGGGAATGTGGGCTTCTGAGGCTCGGCAGCCCTTTCATTCCCTTCCAAGCCAGATGGAGACCCAAGAGTGTTGAAGGGCCTCGCCTTCCCTCAGTTTCTCTATCTATATCTGGGGGTGCAGGATAGTAGGAAGAATGGCCTGTAGTATTTTTCCAGTGTTGATGTGTCTCCATTGTTTTCTTCTTATAGTGCAGCTTTCCCCATGTTTGAAAATGTTCTTTTTAAATGAAACCATTGATTATAATAAAAAACGTCAGCAGCTATTAAAATAAAACCCATTTTCATGACAGTAAGCCAACCAATAGAGAAAACCTTGGGGATTAATAAATGAAGGATTTGTTTGGTAGATGATAAAAGATCATTTTAAAGAGTCCGACCCTTCCTAGAAAATACCCACCAACTTGGGACCTCAACAGATTCACCATATCCTAATGCATGCAATTTTAATGTGTATTCAGCAAACCCACATGTGTTTGCAATTGTCGATGTTTGCAATTGTCGATGCTACCAAATGTCAATAGCGTTTTTTTTTTGTTTGTTTTGTTTTTGTTTTTCTGTTTGTTGAATGTGAATCTCAGGTACGAAGCCATCTAAACAGAAGAAATTACAAGAATGATTTAAAATCACATATAAAACCAATAGTATTGCTAGAGGAGAATTAGTCAAGGACAGCATTATGAAGAAAGTGAGCGAGAATTTCCAAAGAGCAGAAAGAAGCATTATGAAGAAAGTGAGCGAGAATTTCCAAAAAGCTTGGTGGTCTAAGGGTTTCCATGCAGCAGGAATGCCAATATAGTGGAGTCTCTGAACCCACTGAGTCTTGGACTGTTTAACTAATATTTGTACTTCCAGATATAGTACAGTGCCTTGTACATAGTGGTATTTTTTAAAAATATAATGCCTCGTAATTTTTTCAATTTTTATTTTAGAAGGAGGGGGTACATGTGCAGTTTAATTACAAAGGTATATTGCATGATGCTCAGGTTTAGAGTACGACTGAATCTGTCACCCAGTTAGTGAGCATAGTACCCAGTAGGTACTTAGTACCCATAGTACCCAGTAGGAGCCCTGCTCCTTCCCTCTCTCCTCCATCTAGTAATCCCCAGACTATTGTTCCCATCTTAATGTCCAAATAGCATTTGTTTTTTAAAATGGGGGATTGAAGAAAATCTTAGTGCTTGACAGTGTCTCTTCAGTGCATTTATTTAATTCATGAGCACTGGAATGATGGTTGCATTTGGGCAGAACTATACTATCAAAAAGATACTAAAAGGAAAAACAAAAGTTAAATCTATCAACTACAGGACTGAAACTCCCAAAGCATCAGAGTTCCTTTAAAAAATAGTACATTGATTTTTATTTTTTATGACATATTGGCTTTGTTCATAATAATATAAACATGTTATCACAGAGGACTTCTTAATTCTTCAACTGTTTCTCAGTTTTCTCTTTCAGCTTCAATATCATAAATTATTTAAATGGTTGTGAATGGAGTAGGATTTTTTTAAGTAAAGGTTTTATAGAGGTTCAGAATTATGTGAACAAAGACATGTAATCTCTTAAGCAAACTGAAACTAATAAAGTTGTACACTTGAGGTAATGTAAATAAAAAGGTTTTGCTTTCTTAATTGAATTATGTGAATAACTAGAAATTTAAAAAGTATTACAAAGGTTAACAACAGCATCATTACCTGGGCTGCCTTTATAAATACATATTTCTGAGATTCACTTTCAGAAAATTTGATTCAGATTTGCTGTGGGTCCCAGAAATCTGCATTTTAAATAAATACTCAAAGGAGATATTATTACAAATGGCCCACTGGGACACAATTTGACCAGTATGACCAATTTTATTTTTTTAACCTTATTTCTGCTTATTTATCTTTGAATTGAGGTCCAGGATTTTAGGTAAGATTTTAAGGTGGAGTCAGTTTTCTGGATCCTTGGAAAGAGAGTCTGAGTAATCAGTGGATGAGTTATTTCACCAAATGAAGGAGACCCTTTATTATTATGTGACCCTTCGTCTGAATTGGAAAAGAATGTCCCTTTGATACCACATTTTTACAATCAGAACATAGTTTGAGAGACAAAAAATAACAAAATATATTTGTATTTTAAAGCTTATGGAACCAGACAGAAAATTTCCACATAGCCTATATATATCTTACCTTTATAAAACTCTATATACACTTATGTTTGCACAGGATGAATGGATCTCTCTCTCTCTGTGTGTGTGTGTGTGTGTGTGTGTGTGTGTGTGTGTGTGTGTGTTGTAATAAGACGTTTCTTTCATTTTATGAGCCAGACCAGGCTTATAATAAATCTAACAACCTAAAATTATGTAAGAAAGAAAAATCAAAGCACAAGTGTTACGCTTATCTAGCCATAATAGAATAAAGCATCTATGGACAAAATGATGGGTCTTTATGTCTCTGTAAAAGCACAGTGATGAAGGGAGAAATATAGATGAAAAATGTAAGCTAAAAAGTAACAGTTACAAGAAAAAATATCATACCTTTCAAATAATAATTTTTCTGCTTTTAAACTACAATTTGTCTAATATTATACCAGTGACGTTGCTGATGTATTAGGAAAAAGCTTGTTTTGCTTTCTTTTCTCGAGTGCCACCATTTTCTTGCTCTCATTTTCTTTCAGGCTGCCAGATCATCTGACTCAGCAATTGTATAACTCTCTCAACCAATTTAAAGAAACAGCAGCTATCTAGAGAACAATGACTCCCCCAGTTGCTAATCTAATTATTAAATGTTCAACATCAGATACTTTGAATTTTACTCCATGCAGTTTACATGCTGAATAGTTGAAGTTGAATATATTATATTTAACATTTAATTTTTAAAAGAAGCTTATTGAAACTTTCTCCCAAATCACATGGTAAAGTTCTCGTTTTCTTCAAAAATAATTAGGAGGAGCTTAATAATAATAGGACACTTCAACTTGCATTATCTTATTTAATTATCACAATATCCTTATGTTTTAGATGTTTCATTTTTTTCATTTTGTAGATCTGGAGACTGAGGCTCAGATAGGTTGCATGGCCTGCCAAAAACCACTGACTGGTAGTTGGTATATGGTTGAACTTGGTTGTTCATGGAATGCTATAAATATGTATATGGTTTCAGTTCCATCTCTTTTCGTTGTTATTTTGTAAGTCGATTAACTCCTTTGGGCCTCTACTATACTCAAGCATCAGCCATGTAAGTCACAGTAAATATTTATTAGTTGAAAGGAGGTTAACATCTTTCAAAAATTTGTTTTGTGAACAAAATAAAACCAATGAAAAATTATCATGTTAATGTGCACATAAATTACTTATTCCTATTCCTACCGTAATTGAAAAGCAATAAATGAGATACCTGTTCACCAACCAGCACAGGAACCAATTGAAGCATGCAGTTGAAAGATTACTTTCTTTAGCACTCAAATGACCTGTGAGCAGATTCTATTTCCTTTACTTATGAGGTGTCATGGTACCAGAATGAAGCATGAGAAACTCTCAGTGCTTTTATTTTCTCATCTGTAAACCTGAGACCCCATGGTATTTATGTAATAAGAAGTAGACAAAATAGTATGTGTAAAGATTCACTGTAAACTTTTAAACAGCATACATTTATCAGTTATTATAATGCCTAAACTATTCCCTTAAGAAAGCACATTAGTTTTTTTACAGTAAATACCTACTTCATTAGAATGTATTTATTCAGTGTAGCTAGAAATTTCTAAACTCCATTTTTAAAATGTATATAATAAAAATATGTTTATGTATTAAAACTCCTGGTATATTCCAAGGTCTTCAATAAAATCAGTGTAAATTTGCATACTTGTATACTTTTAAATTCACATCTGTACAGAAGCTCTATATGGTGACCTTTAGGGTATGCCTCTAAGCTCTTCTAGTATTCATAACCATTAAAAACATATTAAGCAGTGTTCCTGAACCTTTGTTTTCTAAGGCAGGAAATCAAGGTAGCTTTAGAAAACTGGAAAAAAGTTATTAGTCTATCTAATAACCCAGAATAATAATTTCCAAAGGAATCACTGAAGACAACTGGATTTTTAATTCCTTCAGAATGGTTGTTATAGTCTGAATATCTGAATCAACAGTTTTGACCAAAAAATTTTTCTAAAAATTCTTTAGTATAAAAAAATTGTGTGTGTGTGTGTGTGTGTGTGAGAGAGAGAGAGAGATGATGAAAGGAATGATGGGCAGAAACATTAATGTAATCCTAAAAACATTCAAAATGCCTACCTCGAGGGTGACCTTCAATTATATTTATTCAAATTAGAAGAAGTTATTTAGAAGTAGGGTATCAAAGAAACAGACAAAATACATTAAATGGTATGCTTTCTCAAGTCCAAATTGACCTGGGGTTTTAAACTGGTACAGAGTAAACACAGAGTATATTCTGTTATCATTGTATTTTTGAAAAATTAATTATGGAAGTTATCATCTTAACCATAACAACAAAAAAGAAAAAACTCTACCCTCACCCCAGAGACTGAAAGGAAAACATGAATGGAAATGTTAAATCTGTATGTGAAAAGTGCTAAAACATTAATAGAAAGCATTTACTTATTTAATCAAAGTTGATTATATTTCATCAAGAAGTTGATTCCTTTGAGGGGTGTTGAATCATGTATCAGGTGAAGAATGTGATTTGGGAAGACTGGTCTAACATAA